AAGTAAAGTGAATAGTGTTCCTAGAAGGAAGTGGTCAAGGTGTCTATTTTAACTTATATCAAGTAAAACGTCCATTGGCATTATCAACATAGAAGTCTTTATTGAGTTTATCAAGAGCTTCTTGGTAAGGGCTGGGGGTTGCTGGAAACCAGAATGGGTTCAACATAGAAATGAGTAGAAGGTGAGGAAATGAAGGGAGTATAAACAACTTCAACCCTTGAACAGTTTGGCTATAAAAAGGAAAAGAAATAGGCATGTAGCTGAAGAGGATACAGGTTATCAGTTTTAGTGGTTTATTTAAATAGAGAAGCCTTAAAGATTAATCACCATAAGGAAAAAATGAGTGAATATACAAAAAAAAGTTTATAAAGTTTCTTTCATACAAATATCTAACAGAATTGGGAAAGGTAAAAACAGAAAGCCTCACATTTTGAGGACATGAGTCAATTAGACTGAGAACCCAGTTCACCATGTAGATGTTAACAATATATTTTTTTAAATTCTCAAGAATTAAAAAGTGTAATGTGGGGGCTGGCCTGGAGGCACAGCAGTTAAGTGCACACGTTCCGTTTCGGCAGCCTGGGGTTTGCCGGTTCGGATCCTGGGTGCGGACATGGCACCGTTTGGCAAGCCATGCTGTGGCAGGCATCCCACACATAAAGTAGAGGAAGACAGGCACAGATGTTAGCTCAGGGCCAGTCTTCCTCAGCAAAAAGAGGAGGACTGGCAGATGTTAGCTCAGGGCTGAGCTTCCTCAAAAAAAAAAAAAAAAGTGTAACGTGAGGGCCAGCGCAGCACAGCAGTTAAGTTTGCATGTTCCATTTAGATGGCCCAGGGTTCACCAGTTCCGATCGCAGGTACAGACCTACGCACTGCTTATCAAGCCATGCTGTGGGAGGCGTCCCACATACAAAGTAGAGGAAGATGGACAGAGATCTTAGCTCAGGGCCAGTCTTCCTCAGCAAAAAGAAGATTGGCGGCAGATGTTAGCTCAGGGCTAATCTTCCTCAAAAAAATAATAAATAAATAAAAAATTTAAATTAAAAAAAATGTAATGTGCCCTCAAGTGACATTTGGCAATGATGGGAGATAATTTTGGTTGTCACAACTGGCAGAGGGGATGCAATACTAAAGGCTGATTGGTAGTATTCTGATGGGTAGAAGCCAGGGATGCTGCAAAACATCCTGTGATGCACAGGACAGCCTCTCACAATGAAGAATTATCCAGTCCAAAATGTTAGTGATGCGAAGACTGCAAAACCCTGCTCCAGGAATTTAACCTACAAATATATTCGCACACATGAAATAACTTCTGTATAATCATTTATTGTTTGAAATTGCAAACCACTGGAAATGACACATATATACATAAATAGATGGTTTAAATAAACTGGTATACAACTGTACAACAGCATGCACAGTACTCCATTATTTGTGTTTTTTAAAAAGGTAATAATGTAATTATACACACACACACACACACACACACACACACGAACTCTTGGAGTGAACTTTGATGACTGCCTGAAGAAAAGAACTTTTGCTTGGAAAACACATTGTTGCAGTGCAGTACCGCCCTCAGACCCAACTTGGGCCCTGTGTTTTAGAGGGTCCTCTGTCTGTACTTCTCTCCTTGAGGTGATAAGCCCATGGAACCAAGGGACATGTCCACCTGGAACCCAGTCTCCCCTTTCTAGACCATGCTCTGGGCACTCTGGAATCCCCTGCTTCCAGGGTCTGCACAGTCCTCTTCTCAAGTTCTGTCCTCATGTGGAGTGGCCAAGGGATAACTACATTCAGGGACTGTAGACAGGGCTTGGACAGGAGGCTGGGGTATTCCATGTGTGCACATAAGGGCTATCAAAGTGCAGGACAGAGCTGAGGTGTAAGAAGAAAAGGAAGGCAGGCTAAGGGCTTCAGGGACCAGAGAGAGACTCTGGAACTCTGAGGAGCTCAAGAACTCTAGATTTGAATCTGGCTTCCAGGTCATTATGAAAATATATTTGTCAAGGTATATCAAAGGTAAGAGAAGAAAATATGTTTTATTTAACAGTTTGTTAGCTTGACTTTAAAACTATTAAATATTTAGACTTACGGGGGCGGGCCTGGTGGCGCAGCGGTTAAGTGCGCACGTTCTGCTTCTCGGTGGCCCGGGGTCCACCAGTTCGGATCCCGGGTACTGACATGGCACCACTTGTCAAGCCATGCTGTGGTAGGCATCCCACATATAAAGTAGAGGAAGATGGGCATGGATGGGATGTTAGCTCAGGGCCAGTCTTCCTCAGCAAAAAGAGGAGGATTGGCAGCAGATGTTACCTCAGGGCTAATCTTCCTCAAGAAAAAATTTAGACTTACAGTATATGGTCTTGCATTTGTATACTTGTCCTGAACCTTGCAAATATCCATCCCTACAAATGTTAGAGATGGGTCGATTGCAGTAGAATAGATTGAGAGTAATGGCTGTGGCCTCGCAGAAGGAAAAAAACAAGGAAGAACGTGTGCCTGAGGATCCAGCAACAGGGAGAGATGAGTCCTAGGAGTTTAACTCTGTTCTCTTTTTCTCTGGGTCACCAGATCTTAGGGGATATACCAGAAGAGATACTGAAGAAAAGATGGGAGGGATGTTTTGAAACCTTAGTCAGATCATTTCACTCCTTAGTTCAAAACTCTCCAACAGATTTGCAACTCATTCAAAGTAAAACCCAAGGCTCTTCAAAATAGCCTTTCCCCCACTCTCAACCTTATTTCTCACCATTTTCCCTGTTTCTCACTCCACTTCAATCACACTGGTTTCCTGAGTGTGAGTGAGTGTGAGAGAGGCTTTCCCTCTCACTCACTCAGCAGGCTGCAGTCTCAAGGCCTTTGTACTTGCTGTTCCTGCTTCCTAGCTCTCTCTTCCCCTGCGGAAATGGCTGGCTGACTGCCTCTCTTATAGAGGACTTCCTCAATAAACATCATTATACTTCCCAAACTCACTCTCTAACCTTTTTCTACTCTATTTTTGGTCATAATATTTATGAGTACCTGGCATATATTTGTTTATTGCCTCCCTACACTAGAATGTAAGCTCCACGAGAAAAGGGTCTTTTTCTATTTTATTCACCATATAGAACTGTGCCTAGCACACAGTATATGCTCAACAAACATTTATTGAATGATTGAATAAATACAGGAAATGACCCATCTTATTTCACAATTATGTCCAGAGTTAGATCTATTTGTAGGATATTAACCTCTTAACATGTATAGTGTTAAAGTGACTTCTGTATAGTTTCCATTCCTTTAACTCACATATAAGTTCTTTTAGGTCAGTAACACATTATGACTTCGTTCAGCCTGTCCCCTCAGCCTCAAAAACCTTTGCAAACCAAACTCCCACTCAGAGATCCTCTGACATCAGGCTCAGAAGTTATCTATCTGAAGCTTTCTCTGATCCCGGATAGAAATGCTACATTTCTCTGGGCTCAAAATGCACTTTGTCCACATCAGTTATATCAATTAATGGGCTCTATTGTTATGTATTTTATAACTACTTAATTCAAATACATTTTCTGAGGTCCTCTTTAGATTAAAAACTCCTACCTATCCAGAATTTTAAATTAGAATCTATTTTTATCATGCATCTGCTCTGTGTAAGACATTATCTCACGTTATGTGCACCGCTGAAAGGTGTCCACGCACAACATCTGGTCAAAACATAACCACGTTTTGACCAGACCATTGATAGGTAATGACTACAACTCCCAAGATGCGCTGCAGGGTCAACGTGTGCATCTCGCCTGGTTTTCATCTTTCAGGCTAACGGATGTAAAGAACTGGCGGCTGAACAAGCTGAGGGTGTCTTAAAGAACAAATAAAAGGATTCTACCAAGATCGAACCGGGAATGAAACCAACCACTGCCCAGTGCTCGCCCTGTGTCCACCGGGCTACGTCTGACAACGTGAATGCCGAGAGAATTCCTCGCTCGCTTATTCAGCGCCGAAGACCTCCCGATAGATAACGCAAGAAATACCCGCCAGATAAACTGAAAAATATCAAAAGAGTGCTCTTAGAGGTGATAGGAAGGTGGCTTCCCGCCACTTCCCTAAACGTATCTGAAGACTTATTTTCCGAGGTTACAAACACGGGAAGGGCAGTGTATTTTCATGAAACGGAAAGTATGCTTTTCAATGGCCAGCTACCAAAAGCCTAACGGTGAAACGCTCTGGCGGGAAATAGGAAACTGTCAACACACTTTTTTACGACGTTATAATCGCCTGAAGATCCAAAGAACACTGCCTGAGGAGAGGCTTAACTGTAACAGACTCCATAACGAGCTTCAGTGGGCTCGGGTCGCTTGAAAGGGCTCAAAGTTCCTACGTCTTCACAGAAACAGGTTTAAAATTATTTTTCTCACATAGGCTGAGAGTGTGAGCTTCTGTTAAGGAATACGAGCACATTTCCTTCCTTTTTGCACAGGGTTAGTCCTGTCCAAGGATGCGTACCTCCCAGGGTGGCTTTGCTTTTTCCTCAGAGCTGGGTCTCACCCGTCATCGCACGCCGAGCGCCGCCAGACAACTCACGAAGCCGGAGCCACCCCTCAGCTGCTGCAGCCAGCACACAGAGGAGTCTCGCGGCACCTGCGGACGGGGGCTCGCGAGAACCGCCCACTTGGCCGAGATCCCGCGCCAGCAGGCGGGGCCGAGAGAGGAGGAAGTCGCCCTTAGGCCCTCCCACCAAAGTCCAGCACCCCGCATCGCGAGAACGCCAAGCACAACTGGGCCGGGAAGTGCATGTAGAAGTGAGGGCGCCGCGCGTTGGACTCGTCGGCCGCCGTAGCCCCTGCTAGGACAGCCCGTGCGATCCTGCCGGAGGAGGAAGAGAAAGGCAGAGAGAATCGGGTTTCAAGATGGCGGATCTGTAGTAGTTACCGCGGCGGCGGCGGCGGCGGCGGCGGCGGCGGCGGCGGCGGCGGCGGGAGACCGAACGAGCTCTGGGCGAAGAAGGGAGGGGAGGGTGGGTGTGTGCGGGGGTGAAGTAAGAGGTAACCGCGGTTGTGGGCGGAGAGGTCTCGGTGGCTCTCGTTGCTCATTCCCGCGGCTGAACCTTGATAGCCATGGTGAACTCGGGCCTCTCCGGAGCCGCCGCCGCCGCTGCCGCCACCGCCGCTACCGTCTCTCAGGAGTGAGGGGCGCGGACGAGGTGAGCGAGGAGGCGGCGGCTGGAGCGGTGAGGATAGCAGCCACCATGTCGGATACGCGACGGCGAGTGAAGGTCTATACCCTGAACGAAGACCGGCAATGGGACGATCGAGGCACCGGGCACGTCTCCTCCACTTATGTGGAGGAGCTCAAGGGAATGTCGCTCCTGGTTCGGGCAGAGTCCGACGGTAAGGTTATTGGAACGGTAGGCTAGGGGACAGTGCCTCCGGTTTGGGCACAGCCCTGGGGTTTAGGCCCTGGGCCGAGTACTGTTACTGCCACCTTTTGGGACAGCGCGTTGGTTTTGTGCCTGCACTTCTGTACGGTAAAAACAAACTACTTTGCCTGGAAAGCTCCTCAGTCCGACGCCGATTCTCCGTTCCCCCGCCTCTTAGCCCTATTAAGGATTTGACCCCTTCCTCTCCAGTCAGTCCTCTTTTGAAGAGGGGAAGTGATAAGGGAGGAGGTAATGAGAGACAAGTTAGTGATCTGCTGGTCCTACGGAGCTGATCGCCTCTGTTGATCTTTTATTTTCTTATCCATTGTATGTCCAGTACAAAAGATTTAGTGAAACTTTTCTTTCTCAGTTTTTTTTTCTTTAACCGTTGTTACCAACGAGCCCCTGTTGCCACAGTCGACAGGTGCTGGGGAATACCAAAAGCCATCTCTTTCTGGGTCTGTTGCGGACTGTTGCCACGATACGTGCACGCACAAGCACATACACATCTCTACTCTGGGATCCCTCCAGGCTGTTTTTGTAGAGAGTGCTGTGAAAAAGTGGATACTTTACACCCTAAACAAGTTAGGACACCAAAGCTGATTGTAAACTTCTGTTCGTTGATTTATTGTAGGAGTCATATGTGAGGAATTTTTAAATTATAAAATGTAGAGCCGTAGTTAAAACATTTTTCTCATTGTAATCTGAATGCCTCATTTTGAGCGACTGATATGTGCAGACAGTAGAAAAATAACAATCTTAGATTTATTCTTGAGATATTTGTACTCTTGCACTTTCCCTTTTACTTTAAAAAGTCATGGACCTTTATTTCTACATGAGATATCCTTCCTTGTGTTCTTAAGCAAAAAGGATAAATGCAGTTCTGTAATTTGTGTACTAAGTACTTAGATCCCTGTTGTGGTCCTTTGCAATTTGTTTTATTTGTCAATCTGGAAATAACAATAAAATAACTTTGTTAAAAAGAGTTTGGCTTCAAGTGGTGGTCATTTAGACCGTAAAACTTTCATTTCAATAAAACTTTAATAGTCACCTAGTCTCCTTATATTCTTGGTCTGAATGCTGATCTTAGATGGATTTTTTCCTTTAAGTGTGTATGGGGATAGGATGATAGGTTCTAAATTAAATGTGAAGCCTGGATCTGGAGAGAAAAATGTTAATTCGAATACAGTTGATTACTTCAAATGTCTAGTTGGGTGAAGAGAATATGTTTTTTTGGTTTGGTAATTGTTTTGTTTTTTTAATGTGGATTCTGATTTTTTATTCAGGGTTTTGTAAATTGAAACTTAGAAATATTATTTTGTATCTTTCAGGATCACTGCTCTTGGAATCAAAGATAAATCCAAACACTGCATATCAGAAACAACAGGCAAGTAGTTGTTTATCTTTAATTTGAAAGACTTCATCTGTGATCAAGGAAGTATTAATCTGACAAAGATGGGAAATCTTTCCTGACCAGAAAAAAATGTTTGGTAAACAGAGTTACAGACCATATGTATTTTCCTTGCAGGTTAAAAGTTTCAAACTGGAAAGTGAAAGTTTTTGTACTGGCAGTAATTTATCTTTGAATTGAGCTGCTCTTAGGTTATATTAGAATACTATGTATTCATTAATCTTATTTAACTACAGTTAGCCAGGTCTCTTCTATATCCTGTACACTAAGCCTTTTATTCTCAATCACATTTAAAGGAAATGGCATAGAAGAAAATTCAAAGGGGTACCTTTAAAATCGAGAAAAGCCTGTTCGTGGTGTAAAGTTAGATCCTTTGACTCAGGCAAAGGATTTTTGGAGTGGAAGCATTTAAATCCTGTTCTATAATTGTTGTATATTTTTATTATAATAATCAATGGATACTTTACAAAAGTGTACATTGCCAATTTTGTAATGTTTTCTGTTAATATTTATTGTCTTATTTGGGAAAAGAAAACCTGTGTTGTGCTTTACCATGCCTAATTATTTAATCTGGAAATGGCAGCAGTGATTCAACCTTTTCTTTATTCTGTGAATGTTTTCATTTTTATTATGAAAGATTTCAAAATCGAAAAGTACGAAGAATAATCTAATGAATGTCTGTGTAACACCACCAAATTTAACAATGTTAACATTATACCATATTTGCCTCTAATCTTTTTGTAATGTTGAACATTGTGGATAGAGTTAAAGCCCCCTTTGTACCCATCTCATTCTATCCATTCTCCATCCTCCCTGTAGGTAACCACTATTCTGAAGTTGATGTGTATTATTTCTGTACATGCTTTTATACCTTCTCTGCGTATGTATGTATCCATAAATACTGTGTAGTCCCTCATGTGTTTTTAAACTTTGCACAATTGATCTCGTACTCTTGAATGTATTCTACAACTTTCGTTTTTCACTCAAACGTTATTTTGAAGATTTGTTTATGTTAACAATGTAGATCTAGTTGATTTTTTTTTAAAAACTCTGTATAGTATTCTGATGTATGGTATATACCTTTTGTGAGACATTTGGATTATTTTCAGTTTTTTCTGTGTGCAGTGTGTAATGTAAATATAGCAGAAAATTTTGAAGGCAAAGATAAATTATTTTAATATTCTATTTACATCATCAATGCCTATTTTCTTCAAGATCAATGAAAATTTGGATGCCCCAAAACATACCACACAATCGGAGGAATGAAATTATGTCTATCGCATAGTGCATTATTAGTAAAATTGTTAAACAGTTGTTTTGTGTATGCAGTAAATTCTTAATCAGTTATTTGAAATATTTTTAAAATTTTTAATGTTCAATTAATAGTTTTTTCCTCTACTTAGAAAATATTATGTCTTTTTTGGTGGAGAATCAGATTAAACATTTGTTCTGTATTGCACACTTAAAGATGTTTCCTATACCTTAGACGTTTAAAGTAGACATTTAAGTAAATTTAATTTTTGAGTCAGCCAGGCAGGTTTCTCTCTGTCACTGCTCTTAATTTTGCCAGATAGCCACTTTTGGTTTGTTTTTTGTTTGCGTGCTCATTTGTGGGGAAAGAAATGCTAATATTACGTGATCATTTTTTTTCCTATCTGCATGAATATTAAATTCTCAGGAACTGTGTTTTTAAATGTGACTCCCTACATTAGTTATAATATGTATTCTTCTCAAATCGTGTACAAGTTCCTTTAGCTGTTGTTACTATTGGAAAGATCACATTATGGCAGAGGTTTGTGTATAAAATAGTCCCCCAGCATTAGTCCAAAAATACACAGTGGATGTGTAAATACTTTAGAAACTTTGGGACATGTGTCATGTGTAATGTTCCTCTGCTAGAAAATTAATGTATTGGAGGAAAAAGTCTTTATTTAAAACAAAATTTTTATGCCATTGGGAAAGTGTTTTCTATAATTAATCATATTTAAATAATATACTATTGGGCTTTTTTAATATATATTTTTCTAATTGAGGTGCTTTTTACTAAACATTAGAGTATAAGAGAACTTTTTGGCAATGAGAATAATGGAAAAGCTTTGTATATAAGAATGAAAAAACGTGCGTAAATGGAGTCACCTGTTTTCTTTATTTTTGTTTAAATTGAGTGCACTTTTCTAATAGAAATCAAAAGCCATTTGGTGGTTGTGTTAAACTGTTTTTTTTGTAATACATATGATTTTTCATATTTTCACCAAAATCTTGTTCAGTTTGCACATTTTACCATGTTACACAAATTGGGATTTCCAAACACATGGATATTTTTCTATGTTCGTTAGAATTATCTTTTTTTATGTCATCATTTAAGTTATTCAATAAATTAGTCTAGAAAATCATTCATTTCCAAAATTTATATGAAGTATATTGATCATTAGTGGATTTCTCATAAAAACCTTGAGTGAATGAATAAGACATTCATAGCTCATAGGATATCTTGACATTAAAATACATTGAATAAATTCATTCTTTAACATCACAGTTCTAAAATGAGCTAAGTACTGATTTGTGGGCTCAAAATACATCTTTTTAAAATTTTCTCCAAAGGCAAATTACTGAATTGTGGGCTCAAAATAAGTTAGAATGAGTTGAGTTGAATGTCAAACGACTCAATATTGATAGGTCATCGATTCACATCACTTCCTTCTTACTTACAGTGGGCAATATTGAAGTAGTTAATGGGAAAGAGAAGATATACTTAGCCTAAAGAAGCCCGTAAACTTAAGTGTTTTAAACACGTTGGAAAGAGAAGAGAATGATTAAACAGTGGAACATGAAATAAAGTGCCTGATACATGTGTCAAAATTTTAAGTTATTTAGAATCAGTCCCACTGATCTTGACTAAATCAAAAGTGGAGTCATAGGGATATGTACCTTTTATATTTAAGACAATTGTGTGTTAATTGGGTTTAGGAAAGAAGTATAAGGAAGTTCTCATCCTCAGTTTTATTGGAAGACAAGACATAACAGGTGAAACAATTATAGAATGGTAATAAAATAGCTGATAAAATGTTTTAACCCAGTCCTCATTGAAAGCCCATGAAAGTATTTCACAGATAAGGTAACTAAGGCACAGAAAGTTTAAGTTTCTTGACTGAGCATGTACAGCAAGTATACGCCAATGCAAAATACTATAAAAAGCAGCTTGTATTCCACAGACTTGGGCAGTAGAAAATTTGAAAAGGGAGAGATTGTTTAGAGCCAGAATCATTAAGAAAATCTTCACTTTCCTATGTGGTGTCTGCTGAAGGAACTGTAATAGGGAAGGGAGTAGTACACCTGATACAAAAGGTACTAAGCCTGTTTGCAGCAGAGGTTTTTTTATTTGAGAACTTGCTTTGCTAAACAAAAGGAGAGCCATTATAGGTTCTTGAGTAGGGGCCTCACATGATGAAAGTGATACTGCTGTGTTTAGGAAGTCAGTGTGGCAATGTCATGAATAATGAGTTGAGGGTGGAGAGGAAAACAAGAGCTTTAGGTAGCAAGACCTTTTGCAATAATTCAGATACAAGAAAATGAAAGTCTGTTCCAGTGTAGTAAATGTAATTAGGAAGAAGGAACAGAGCTCCAGGATATTTTCAAGAAAGTGCTGAAAGATTTGGTGAATGATTAAATATGAAAAAAGCAGTCAAAGGTCACTAGTAGTATTTTTGAGTCTCAGGACCAGGAAAATGATTGTTCTCTCCGGAAACTGGGAAGTTGAGAAGAAAGCAGGTTTACATTAATAATTTGGGAAAAGGCTTTGTTTATTTTGAATAGATAGTACATTCACATTGTTAAAAATTCAGAAGGTATTTGGTGAAGTCTCACTCCTACTCTGGACACTGGACTCTGTCCATACGGTTTCCCTTGCTGGAGGTCACCAGCGTTAGCAGTTTATTGTACATTTTCGTAGAGGCTTTATGGATGTGTAAACAAATATGCATGCAATCACATATATATTCTCCTTTTTATTGGCATAAATGGTAGCATGATATATACTGTTCTGATCTTGCTTTTTTTTTCATTTAGGTTTGAAGCAATAGTAAAATGAATGGAAAGGTCTTATAATGAACATCTTAGACGAGAGATACAGTAAGAGTTTGGTGCAGGAGATTCCAATTTGAGAATCATTGAGTGCTGTTTTTAGCTGCAAGAGAGGACCTCCTTTGAGAGAATAGATATGAATTGAGAAAAGAGCAGAGGTTAAGACTGAGCCTTGTTGAGTTATCCACATTTATCCATTCATCCAATAATACTTGATTGATTGCTGCTTAGGGGTTGATCACTATCTTTAGTTTGAATTTTTGAAGTGCATTTGAAAGCTTTTGAAGAGTTTTCAGCAGAGGAGTGACATTATCCAAAATAGTAACATCAATCTGGAATTGAAGAGAGACAATAACTGAAAGACTAGGTGGGAGATTGCAGTATAGCCCAAGCAAGAGATAATGTTGGATTGGGTTAGGGTGATAGTGGAGATGGAAAGAGATGAATGTATTTGAGATATAAATTAAAGACAGAATTGACAGGGCATGCTGCTGGATTAGATGTTTGATAGTGACATAAAAGGAAGATCCAGTAAACAGGAAGAGTAAGCAATTGGGAAATGTAGAGAATCAGGAAAATGTGTTGTCTTCAAGGGAGAACAGAATTTCGGTAAGGAAAGAAGAACCAATGGGTCATCACATGGCTATTTAATATCCTACAAGAGAAAAATTGAGAATATTCTAGGTTTTGGTTAGAAGAGCATCCACTGAGATGAAGGTAGAGATGAAAAGGATCATACTTTATTGTATCTATCTCTTAATTGGCAAAACAATCTAATAAAATTGAGGGTGTTGGGGTTTAGCCTGAGAGTCGTGGGGAATGGGCTAATGAGTATACAAGAGAGAAAGAGATTTCTACAATTTTGAATGCTGCATTAAAATGACAGCATGAATTTGTAATGAATAGAGTCCACTCTGCACTTTGGACTAAAGATCAGGTGTGTGAGTAGAGGACGTGAGTGATTAGGTTTGAAAGATTGGGCAGGATGATGGATAGAGATGTGTTCTGGATGGTGGTTTGAAAGGAGACCAATGAGGAATCTTTGGGAATCAGATGGAGGGGGGTGTCTTTCTTAGTTCGGGGTCTAGACAGATGGGTTTAGAATTGGACACGCTTAAGTGTTTTAATTCCATATTTCTAGCTATGTGATTTTGAATAAATTTTCTCTGAACTTCATCTTTTAAATAGAGTTGCTACCTGTCTTATATAATATTTGTAAATTATTGTTTGAAAAATGCTTTGACACAGTGCCGAACACGCAAGCTCAATAAGAGAACTATATTCATAATAATCTTATTATAATCCTGATGTAGGCAGCATTTTCCTCTTTTCCAATGAGGAAAGATCAAAGTACTTTGCTGAAGTCACAGAAATAGTGGTACTCAGATCCTAATTCTAGTCAAGGGTTATTCCCACTGTATCCAAATATATCACAGATTTGGGGAAGATAAGATATCACTACTGTTTGAAAATAGTATCATGTCTGTCCTGGACTGTATGTTATACCACACTATATTTTAAAAATCCATCTCAGAAAGACTAGGTCAGCTACCATTAGGAACTACTAGAGAGTTAGGTGCTGCATTATTTGTCTGGTTAATCTTACTCATTTTCAGATTTTTAATTGATTTTGAATCTGGAAATGGAATTCTATAATCTATTTATATTTGTTTTCCCTTTTTTAGAAAAACAGGTATTCTTTTTGAAAAACTTTAGCTCTGTATTGAATTTTGTCAGAGTCATTAGGGGCAAGGATAGGATTAGTCTGGCAAGCAGTAGGATCTCAAATATTTCATGACTCTGGATTTTATTCATGTTAATTGAAGTATCAGTTCAGGGAGGAAAACTAAAACAGAATTCGTTGGTTTGTTAGACCCTGTTAAGTATGTCACAGATACTTTGTGAACATGATATGAAAACTAGAGACACTTTCCCCCAATTAGGTGTTATACACCAAGTTTTAGATACAATTTTCAAGTGTAATTTAGATCCTGGATTAAGAACCTCTGATTTAAACAGTATCCAGCTCAAGAATTTTTTTTAATATATAAGATTGAAAATAACTATTTCTTACAATAATACTGCAGTGCGAAAACCTGATTCAGTAAACGCTAAATTCTCAAGCTTCTTCAGCTCATGTCTTACTCCCATCCTGTGCTTGGACATAATCACCCAGACCAAATATAATTGATTTTTTCCCATTCTCCTTGCAAGCTCATTTTAAATCTGATTGCCATGGGACATAGTGGTGACTAAATATTTTAGTTAGTAGAAGAGAACTCAAAGCTTCTCGTGGTTTAAACAGAGGCATTAATATCCCAAAGATATGTGTGCCACACACAGATGAGCAAAAATATACTATCACAAAGCACAGTGGTTGAAAACGGATCCTACTATGAAAAATTGAGCTTGACTGTATCTAGGCTTCTTGGATATACAGGAAACCCTGCCATTTGACACTTTTCATTCGTTATTTTAAATATTCTTGTGCCAGCTCTATGTTCTCTCACCTAGAATCTTTTGCTCTGACCCTTGGAATAAGCAATTCTAAGAAGTGTTTCTTCCTGGTACTTTTTACTGAGACAGTAGGGTGTGGGGAAGGGGGAAGAAAGAATGGTGAGATTTGTCACCCATTTGGTATAGATACATAGAGCTGGAAAGTGCCTACTCTGATGGTACTTCCCTATCCTCTTTCAAACAACTAGAGATACACTTAGGTCAGGTTCTCAAATTTGACTTATTGAAAGAATTACCTGGGACCCTTGTTAAAGGTAAGGATTCTTGGGACTCACTCTAGACCTGTCCCCAGGGGAGAGGCATGGGAATCTGTATTTTTAACCATCATCCAAAGTCAATCCTCTTTGCATTGAAGAAGGATTCTGAATATAAATCCCGTTTAGTTTCTGATGTTTTGACTGGCTTAGGGAAAAGACTTTATATTAAGAATGTGAAGGAAAGAACAAAAGAAAATGATGATGAAGAGGAGGACTAAGTGACCTTAATTCAGACTTTGTTGATTACCTCCACTTTCTCTTGGAAGGTAGTTTGGGACCAAAATAGAAAGAGCCTTGGATGCCTGGATAAAGGGCTTTGGATTTCATTCTCTTGTACTAGTAATCTCCAAAATGGAATGCACAGGATGAAGCATTGAGATTTGAGAAGAAACTTGTTTATAGATTCTATCAAAAGAAGAAATTGAGTTTTGCTAATATTTAGTAAAGTCAGGTGATCAAGAGTCAAAAATAAGCATGGTATTCTGAGAGAAGAGTAAAATTTCCGTGAAAGGTATTCCCCACCTGTTGTGAATTATTGTAGCCTATGTGTGCAGATAACTGTTTACAGATATTTTCCCATTTTAACCAATCTGTAACCCTCACAAAATGAACAAGAGCTCTAAAAAGGATTGGAAACAATAACATAAGTGCAATTAAACAAAACAGTGGTCAAACTGACATTTTCACTCTAGGCTAAGCTGTCACCCAAGTGATAAAGCAGAAACAGTGATAAAATAGATCTTACAAGAAGTTGCCCCTCCCAGAAAGTTCAGAATTATTAGAAAGATGGCATTAAGTATGGATTTGTATCTGTCATCACTTATGGGTGTGCTGTACCCTAAGTGTATTATTGGCTCTTAAAATGCTAATTATTAATGGTATAGAGCCATTAAAATTCAAACATTAAAAATATTGCTTATTTTAGCTTTATATAAATCTTTTTATTTCTATTTTAGTGATGTTTTATAAAGTATTGCTATACTAACATTATATTTTTGTATATAATATATAAGTAATTTGAGACACACTGTTAAAAAAGTTTTGGAAATCACTGTTCATGAAGCTGTTTTGAGGAGAGCTGTAAGACAAAGGCTCAGGGACTGAGGAAAGTACACAGTGCTAGTGCTTTAACCTGAGTAACTCTGTTTTTATCCTTTTTTACTTGGAGATTCTTAGTAAAATTTTATTTGTAAAAAGAGATCTGCTGGGTTTTTTTAATAGAGGTTTCAAAACCTCTTCTGTAGATGGTGGGAACCCCTGAAAGCTTTTAAAAGAAAAAACAACCTAATAAAATTTTACAATACCTGGTAGTTAATTTCCCTTCCAAGAAGCATCATGTCTAGGCAGAAGCTAGAAAACAGATTTCCAGTTCTTCTTACCTGGTTACACAGCAAATAAGTATTAATCTGAGGCTTGGATTAATTAAAGGATATTTTTCATTTACTGGTTAGAGCTACCAAAGTATTGAAAAGTGTTCATTTTGAAGACTTTGTCTTTATTAATCTGGGGCTCACTTTTAGTTTTATATTTTTTAATATCAGGTCATACTATTTATAAGTACTAGTCAGATGAACAATTATTAAATATAAGGTTTTTGTAGGTTATATTTTTGGTAATTAGAGTATAAATTCAAAGGTGCATTTTGTGAAAAATTAAAATTTTAGCCATATTAAACTTTCATTATTATGTATCCTTTAAAAAAGTGTCTGTTTCATTTGAATGTTGCATAGTGATTTTAGTACTTAAACGTGTGTTTTAATTTAAACCCAAACCTTCATTTTTAATAAAGGGGTTGACAATTTTTTCGTCAAAGCATAACCTTTTGGTAGGGGTATAATTAAGGACATTCTAGGAAAGCACTTAGACCTGAACTGGGGATTCTTTATTTTTCTATGACCTAAGCTGCTCAACTAGGCGCCATTGGTTATACTAAGAGTGAGTATCTTCATTTCATCATTGTTTTGCATTCCTTAGTACCCTAAAGGCGTTTTAAAGGCAAAAACAGAAAGAGTTAAACCTTAAGATATTTTCAGCTATTAGTCAGCCTATACTTGCAACCAGTTGACAACCAGCTTAAAGGGAAAGATAAACTTGTAGGTGGTGGGTGTTTAGTGAGTGAAACAGCTGAGTTTCTGGAAACAGTAGGAAGTAGATGATTAGACAGTCTACATTACACTTTGGCCAAGAATGGCTAGGCTTTCCATCTTGGTAACATGAGCCAGAGCCTGCTAACCTGTTTTAATAATTTTTGTTTTAGAAAATTGCTCAATATCATTTTTAGTACCAAAGCTGCTATTTCATTGCCAGTATATTACTGAAGTTGCAGAGGATAAAATATAGTTATGTGATGTCAGTTGAATGTACATTAATTGCACTTATCAGAGGGCATTTGTCATTGCTATGCTGTTTTCTGTCCTCTTGATTTTTGTTTATATTTTGTAGTTATTTCTTTTCAAGTGTGATGATGTAGGAATCTTTATTTTTAAACAGGATACATTAATTGTTTGGTCAGAAGCAGAAAACTATGATCTGGCTCTAAGTTTTCAGGAAAAAGCTGGCTGTGATGAGATCTGGGAAAAAATTTGTCAGGTAAGTTTCTTTTAAAATAATTAACTTATATTTGCATGCGTTCTTAAATTTTCTTTTTTTCTTTTTACCTGAAAGATGTATGTTAGAAAGTGGAGAGAGAATGTCTTTGAGATTTTGGTAACCTAACCTGGAAATTTCTCTTATGTTCTACAGCAAATTCTTTTACTTAAAATTAAAAAAAAAAGTTGTCATAATTTTGTTTACCACTTTAGATTTTGATAGCATATATTCATAACTAATACCCTACAAAATGTCAAGATCTTTTAAAAACCAAAAAGGATTAAATAATCATATTCTAAGGCTTTTGGATTTTTCTTTAATATTTGGTCACCTTTTTGCCTAATATTTGTGAATACTGTGTCCCAGACACTAATGTTATCAAAAGTGCTCAGAACTTTTCGTGAGAAACCTATAGTCTAGCAGGATATAGGATAGCTAGTAACTCTCAGGTAACTAGAACGTTTTTTAATAAAGATTTTTTTTAGAAGTTTCAGATTTCCAGAAAATGTGAGCTGAAAATACAGAGAGTTCTTATATACTCCCCTCCTTGAGGAGTATATACACCTCCTCCCCCGCAAAGTTTTCCCTATTATTAGCATCTTAGATTAGTATCATACACTTGTCACAATTAATGAACGAATATTCACTATTATTATTAGCTAAAGTCAGTACTTTATTCAGATCTCCTCAGCTTAAAACCCAGTGTCCTTTTTCTGTTCCAGGATCCCATTCAGTATACTACATTATGTTTATGGCCCCTTGGTAAATCTTGGTCATGACAGCTGATAACTAGAATTTTAAATTAATCATAACATTCATTTTAACTACCATTTTCTGCAAATGGAGATCACTGTGTTTCAGTGGTTGCCTAGTATAATTATTCTATTAGAGTGTTTTTTGACTATTGTCATTCTCATTTATATCAGCTTTTCCTTCTGGTGATTCTTATCACTGAAGATTCTTGAGTTAGTTTTATGCATCTGACCATAGTCATTTTTTTTCCTTGGCCCTCCCAATAGCAGTGCCACACAGTATAATAAAGTGGTCCGAGAAAGTGTAGTGTGAACCTTCGCATTCCATATAAGGCATATGGCGTGACATATCACTCTAAATCACTAAACTTTTCTTAACTGGAGTAGATAATTTGTTTCTTTTCCACCTCGTATCTTACTATGCATCATGTATTGCTGGAGCATTATTAGTATACATTATTAAATAGAAGAATTCCACTTGATGAACAGCTGAAAACACTAGTAAATGTGATTTTGCTTTAATTTGTACAATATACATAGAATATACTCCAGATTGTTTTATTATTTCTGTTTATGTTTTGCCAATTTTTAAACCTGTGGATGGTGATGGCAAGAAGGTCCTAATTTTTCCTCTTTTTTTCTCATGTGCTCGCTAAGGGTTGAGATTGAATTTTGTTGGCAAAGTTTTCTGTAAAGTGAGATTTAAGACCTAAAGGTGACTTCTGTTGCAGACTTATGCAATCCACAAATATTTGCCATTCTATTCTCGATTCAATAAACTTGAATCATTCATTCATTCATGAGAAGGGGAAAAAAAACTGGTCTGTGAAAATAATGAAAGCATACTGAAGGATGTAAAATTTTAAAAATATAAGATAACTTTACCATAATATTTATAAGGCTGTTCAGAATATTAATAACAGTATATAAAGACTAATCTTCATTTTTTATAAAGTCCTGAAAAGTGTTATTTTGTATTCTTCCTCTTCTAATACCAGCATGGTAACTGGCACATTTTGTGTATGTACTCAGTATATATTTAAAGAGTGAATGAATAAAACAGAAGACAAACATCTTATTTAGATATACGGTGTTGATTTACACATCTGCCAGAACATAAATTTATCTGGTAGATAATATTTTCCAGTGATCAGCATATTAGATTATACCTTGCCTCATTTCTCCCCTCCCCACACCTCAGCACCTACTGTTTAATATATGTTCTTGGATATACATAAATTCTTGAAGACTTTGTACATTTGTCCTAGAAATTTTCACTGAAATTTGTTTCTTACTCTTTTCACTTGTACACTTCAGGAGGTCCCCAAGACCACTCTCAGGTTTACTAATTCACTAGAACAACTCACAGAACTCCAAAAAGCTGTTATATTTGTGGTTACAGTTTATTATAACAAAATGGTACAGATTAAAATTGTCAGTGGGAAAAGGCACACAAGACAGGGTCTCGGGAGAGTTCCAGGCATGAGCTTCCAGTTTTCTCTCCCAGGATAGTTGTGCAGACAGCAGTTAACTTCTCCCAGCAATGATGTGTGGCAACATGCATGGAGTATTGCTGACCAGGGAAGCTTACCCAAACCTTTGTCCAGCATTTTCATTGGGGGTTATTCATATAAGTAGGCTGACTACCCATGTGGCTGACTTTAGTTTCCAGCGCCTCCAGGGTTAGACCTCCACCATAAACCATGTAGTTACCCACGCATAGCATATCTGGCATGGGCCAAAGCCCCCAGATAAGCAAAAACACTCTTATTAGACAGGATATTCAGAGTGCTTAGAGGTTACCTTTCAGGGGCTGGCCAAGGGCCAAACCTTTCTTTGGCAGGATTAATCCTTTACTGCAAAGGCACCCCTTGGACCTTGGCCCAGACTCTCTTACAGCAAAATGATCATATTTGTTCTAGCATCTGCTTTTAGCATAGCATTTATATGACAGAGTAATGAGTATCAATATGAATATGCCTAACATTTGGAGGAGCCAGTCTGAATAGGGATAGATTTAAAGAAACAGCTATAAAGTCATGATTTACTTTTCGTATTTTTGTACTAATATGATTACTCATTTCTGTCCTTGATCTACTGCACTTTATATTTTATGGTAAACTTACACAGAACTGTTTAGCATAGAAATTAGCTGATGGTTAACAAAATCTACTTCTTCCTCAGGCCAGTCATTTTCTATCAGCATTACATGCTGAGGGAACGTTAACTTAATCTCCCAATATATTTGATCATCAATATCAGTATTATCATAAGGTTTATATACATAAGGTAGTTGGATCAACAATGCCAGTATTATACCATATTGCAGTGTGGTGGTAGGTAGAACCTGAAAAGTAAGAGTCAGTAGATACTGGCACATTACTAGAATCCCATGTAGTTGTTAACGGTTGGTCCAGTTCATCATCATATTGTATGACAAAATGTCTCCTTGAGTAGTGTCACTCATCAAGTTTATTTACAGGCTTCCATTCGACCTTGTCAAGTTCCGAGAGCAGCAGTGGTGGTCTTGGTACACATGTGGCTTCACCCTTATATCCCTCTGGTATAACTGAGCTAAGAGAATATCATCTCTTGCTCCCAGTCGCTCCTGAGGCACCAGTGTTAATGCTGGATTTCCCTCTTATTACCCATGTATTCATTCCTTTGCCCTTAATTTACTATTTCTCCTCCCCATTTGTCATTGATTTTCACCCAGACTTTTCCACGTTTGGAAAGAATGTGAGATTTGGCCACTCTGCTGGTCCAGCAAGGTTAACTTTTACTCACAAGTCAGTACCATACTTTTAAGATCTATGCATGTTGCTGAATATGCATTTAGTTTATTGCTCCTAACTACCGCATGGTATTCCACCGAACCATACATTATACATTTTACTTTTCAAGTCTGGGAGGTCACTGCTGACGTTTGAAAGAACAATTTCAATTTCAATAAAAACCATTTTACTCAGTCATTTCTTAACCCGTTATAATGAGAAAGGTGAACTCCTCTCTGAAAAGTGTCACAGCTCAGAGAATAAGTATCTTAAGGGGAGTGGCAAATGATAGAACAGAAAGAACCATTGGAGAGGAAAAAATTATAAAAAAAGAGTTAAAGTGGTTGATATATATTGAGCTTTTACAAAGCATGAAATCAAAAATACATATGGAAGTGTTAACCTCAGAAAATGGTAGAGATATTTTCTTTGAAACAAATGAAGGAAATAAGTGAAGATAACTCATGAGATGGAGAAGATGAGTGTTGGAGGAAGTTGAGTACTAATGACCACTTTTTTCAAAGGGGACAAGTCTCTCTTCTGAGACCTAAAGAGAAAGTAATAGTCTTTGACACTTGAAAAGGGAAAAAATTTAAAGCAACAGCTATAAGGTACTAGGATAGGAGTGTAGGATAGAGAAATTTTCATTGAGAGTCTTATTGATAGTGTGGATTTGTTGTAAACCCATTCAGCACAGTTAGTTGACTGAATTTAAGAATGTTAAGGTCAGATTATGTTGTAGTAACAACATCCTAAAATTTCAGTGATTTATTAAAACAAAAGTTTGTTTTTTACCTAATGCTGTTTGACTAGTGAGGGGCAGGCTTGGAGAGGAAGGGGCTGTGCTCATCAGAGCCACTCAGGGACCCCAATTGACAGGGAATTCATTTTAATACTTGCAAGATCAATGCAAAGTGCGAAAGAAAGGTGGCAAATAAGAGCACTGGCTTCTAAAAGTTTCTGCCCAGAAGTTACAAATAGCGCTTTTGAAGAAGAGAGGGTAATTGCACTCTCATGTTAGGAATTAGAAAAATTTTATGGAAAATTCTAAACTTTTTTTTTATGTTAGAGTAAATTATTAAAATTTGTTATAAGGTAGCCATGCTCTTCTTGAGCTATCAACCTGAATCATAAAACAGTTCTTTATTCATTATATTGTAATTTTTATCTAAATATTAGAACCTGGAGGCTTTATCACAGATGTTCCATGAATGCCAATTTTTAAAAGAATAGAGCAGTTTCAGGCTCATAACAAAAGCAAATATTTTTCCAAAAGTGAATTTCAAAAGTAATTTGAGGAAATCTTATTTTCTCACTCTTGGATATACAGGCATTGGGTTTTAATTTGGTTTGACCTCAGTAAAGTCCTTGCCAGACCAATGTGATGGTGATTTAAGAGTCAGAAGAGTTACCTTCTGCAAAATTCAAAATTGCTAGATATAGTGAAGTTATTAAACAGCTGCACATGGTTATTACATAATTTGACATCACAAATCTACAAAATATTAGCTGAAATATTCAGGTTGTCAGGGATCAGAGTTCACCATAAGTTCTAAGCTGGGAAATTTAGAGGTGAAACGATCTGCAGTGAGTAACTTAGACTCAAAAAGTGACTCTAAACTACGTGTGTTTTCCCCTTCTAGACTTGACTTTTAATTAACAATGACTGTATTGCTAGTATTGATTTTTTGCAAGGTTTTTTTAACTTAAATCCAATGCTCAGTGATTTGATTTCCAAAATTTTGAATTCTTTTGTATTTTAAGGTAACCCGCTATACTTGGATATTTTTAGGTTCAGGGTAAGGATCCATCAGTGGAAGTAACACAAGACCTCATTGATGAATCAGAAGAAGAACGATTTGAAGAAATGCCTGAAACCAGTCATCTGATTGACCTGCCCACATGTGAACTCAATAAACTTGAAGAGATTGCTGACTTAGTTACCTCAGTTCTCTCCTCACCTATCCGTAGAGAAAAGCTGGCTCTGGCCTTGGAAAACGAAGGCTATATTAAAAAACTACTGCAGCTGTTCCAAGCTTGTGAGAACCTAGAAAACACTGAAGGCTTACACCATTTGTATGAAATTATTAGAGGAATCTTATTCCTAAATAAGGCAACTCTGTTTGAGGTAATGTTTTCTGATGAGTGTATCATGGATGTCGTGGGATGCCTTGAATATGACCCTGCTTTAGCCCAGCCAAAAAGGCATAGAGAATTCTTGACCAAAACTGCAAAGTTTAAGGAAGTTATACCAATAACAGACTCTGAACTAAGACAAAAAATACATCAGACTTATAGGGTACAGTACATTCAGGACATCATTTTGCCTACGCCATCTGTATTTGAAGAGAATTTTCTTTCTACTCTTACGTCTTTTATTTTCTTCAACAAAGTTGAGATAGTCAGCATGTTGCAGGTAAGTCAGCTAACGTGTTCTTCACAATTCTGTTTTCAGATATTTAGTTCCCTTAATAGTTCAAACTGGTGTTCAGTCTTTCTCTTTGAAAGATTTCTTGTTTACTTTAAATGTACTATTAGGCATAGAAAACAGGGCTTTGTCTCATGGTTTTCTGAGGGAAAATCATTTCTTAATGTGACCTTTTATATTTTTAAGAGTCCCATGATGCAGCTGGGGTTTTTTTTGGTTTTTTTAAGATTTTATTTTTCCTTTTTCTCCCAAAGCCCCCCGGTACATAATTGTGTATTTTTAGTTGTGGGTCCTTCTAGTTGTGGCATGTAGGACGCCACCTCAGCATGGCTTGATGAGTGGTGCCCTGTCCATGCCCAGGATTCGAACTGGCGAAACCCTGGGCTACCGAAGCGGAGCACGTGAACTTAACCACTCGGCCATGGGGCGGGCCCCAGCAGCTGTTTTTTAATTTTTTTGTTTATTTCACTTTTTGCATTTTAAAAATTGTGGTAGAATATACATAAAATTTGTCAATTTAACCATTTTTAAGCATACAATTCATAGCATTATGTACATTCACAGTGTTATGCAACCATCACCATTATCCATTTCTAAAACTTTTTCATCATCCCAAAGTGAAACAGCTATTTTTGAAAGTATCTTTTGTTTCGTTTTATGAAACCTAGTTATTATTGAGGTATGTGTGAGTGTGTGTGCTTAAAGCTTCCCAGATAATTCAAATGTGCAGCCAGGATTGAGAAACATGCATTAATTTTCAGGAAATGATGCTTAGATTATTTGCTATATGAGATTGATTTTATTCTGTCTCCTTGAGTTGTAAAATAGGAGTTTTATACCATGTTTATCATGTTAATTCTTTATATCGTAACAGTGTAGTAAGCATGATTTTGAAAATTTTGCTTTACTTGTGGTAGTATACTATACTCACGGTATCCAACCTAACTGCCTTTGCTATTTCCATATCAGTAGTCACTAAGTTTATTGAGCAGCTACTGTATACTTAATGTAGTGGTTCTCAAGTGTAGTCTGTGGACCATTGGGGGTCTCCTAAACTCTTTCAGAGAGATCTGTAAGATTTTCCCTTTTCCAACTTGATGTGAGTGTGAGGCTGTAATTTCTTCACATACTTCACCCAAAACAACATACCCCAACAGGTTTGAGAATCTAGCTGTCTTCTGTTAAGCCAAACATTAAAGGGAGTTGGAAAAATGTGTAACAAAGCACTCTTCTTTCTAAATTTTTAAAATTTGGGATTGTATATTTGTTTCTCATAAAAAATATTTCTATAAACATCTAATAGCTTATTTTTTAGAGTTAGTATTTTTAAATGTCTCAGCTTTAATTATGATAAGTATCAGTCAACATAACCCACATAATAAAACTCTTTGGGGTCCTCAGTAATTTTTAAGAGTTTAAAGGGATCCTGAGCCCAAAAAGTTGAGAATCTCTGACTTAGTCCTTAGCTATGAGACTCTGTTTTGTGATACTTCCAACCATTATTCACCTTTCTATTATTGCTACTCTACTGTTTGTGTAGGGTTTACTTCTTTAGGTCATTCTTTAACCTGTCAATTTTTCTTTATTCCACAATAATAAATGTGAGGGAAGTTAGACTTACACATTAGGTTCTTTCATAATATATGGGGACTGCTTTTTAAAAACCATACTATACACTTCGTTGTGCCATTTCACTTGCTGACAGGAAAACAGTTACAGTCTCAGGAGACTGGAAATAGACCCACAGTCAATATAGTTGATGTAAAGGACCCACTGACAGAGGCTCAAGTGTAGCTTTCAAATGACTGCTTTTGACTTCAGAAGGGTTGCCAAATCCATGATAGTAAATCATAAATGCTTTCCTATGTTTTAAAAAATAAATTATGCAAACTAATCTATAAATATTTGTAACACTCTGTATGTCATTTTGTATATTTTGCCTTAGGTTTATTTGTAAAGACTATAATTATATAAGTCAAGTGTAGCTTTAAAAAAAGAAAGTCTTACTCATTTCTGGTCCATGAGATGCATTTTATGAAATAGCCAGATACTGTGAACAACCTGTTGTTTACCTAGGGTTTACCACTTAATTATCTCTTATGTGCCAGCTGTGATGCTGAATTCTATTTTCAACAATGTATGAGAGGGAAGTAATTAAGATTATGGCCTTTGCCCTCTAAAGGTTCATTTCCTAAAGCCCTACTCTGAGTTTTCCATGTAGAAGTGTTTTGGCTAGGTGTTAGGTGTTTCCAGATAGCTTTCTGGCTAACTAATATACATACCTGTAGCTTCTTAAATGAATATTAACCTGCTGTTGCGTGAGTTACATAAAGCAAGTGAAAATAAGAAATTTTGTCTAACTGGACCAAAATGAGGTGGTACAAAGTACATAACTCAACTCCTAGCCTAAATTAGATTAATTAGCTGAGAAATTATATGAGAGCACTTAATGTGGTCACTGGCTCCTAGTATATACTCAAATACATGTTGAGATTCTCTTAAGCATGATAGGGGCTTTAGATTTTAGTTAACCTGAATTTTCTAGCTAATTGCAGATCAAAATCCCTCGTGCCCAGAATTGAGAAATATGCTTAAACATGTTTTATAAATTAAATTCCTGAAAGCCAATAAAGTAAACTTATTTCCACACAAACAGCTACAGATTAAGATCCTTTTCAGAATAAAAAGTTTTAACATTTCTCTTCACTAGAAATAATGGAGGACAGGTATCTCAAATGTTGATATTTTAACATATTACATATATTTCCACTGTTTCATAGATAAGAGTTGAGGTAAAAACAAACCCAGTAGGGTCAGTGGTTTAGTTCTTTTTTGATATATATTGCAGATAGCAGGATTTCAGCACTGAAAGAAAAATTTCTAACCTTTCATCCCAATTACTAATTAAATATGTAAAATCTTCCAAAACCTTTTAAGAAAACAACTGTTTGCCTAATATGGTTCTTTGTTTTGTTTTTGAGATTTTTGTACTCAAATGTAGGATTTAACCTGTTGCATTTTATCTTATATTTGGCCGATTCTAGTTTGTTGTGTGTATTTTGCTTTGGTTTGTTTTATAACTTTGAACTACTTAGGAATCTATCCTGTTATGTGTGGTTGGAGTGACAAAAACCTCATTATGCAGGAGACTTGGATTCTAAATCCATCTCTCACTAGCTAGTGTCAGATAAGTCCATTCTTTGGGCCTCAGTCTCGTGAAATTTAGCATTGGATTAGGCAGTCTATAGGTGACCTCTTAAAGCCTCATCTAATTCTAAATTTCTGCATTTACATGATTCTAAAAATGGTGAATGGGTTGTGGGTTTTGGTACTTTGGTTTTGTGTATGTGCCTATTTTTACATTATTACAGAGGAAAAAGTTTGATTCAGACTTTTTAGAAGCAGCTCTTTCCCCATAAGGTTTTGTTCTGTTATCCAAAAAAGCAGACACATGCAATTTGATTCAAAATAGTTATGTTTTGTTAAAATAAAAGCTCTTCAAATGAAATGGAGGGGCCGGCTCCGTGGCCAAGTGATTGGGTTCATACGCTCCGCTACAGCGGCCCAGGGTTCAGATCCTGGGCGCGGACATGGGACTGCTCATCAGGCCACATTGAGTCGGCGTCCCACATCCCACAACTAGAAAGACCTGCAACTAAGATATACAACTATGTACGGGGGATGGTCTGAGGAGATAAAGCAGGAAAAAAAAAAAAAGAAGATTGGCAACAGTTGTTAGCTCAGGTGCCACTCTTTAAAAAAAAAAATGAAATGGAACAGAAAAACTAAAGTGATCTAAAGAGACTGGTTTAATTACTGGGAGAACCAGGGAACTTAGGATTTGGGGAGAAACATTCCATCTATATTTATGATAGATTTTAAGCTGTCAATCAATTGCTTCCTTAATATGTACATTGGAACAGAGTGCTTTTGTAAAATATTATCAAGTATAATGTTAGAAATCAGAAAAAAAATATGTACTAGAAATCAGAAAGCATTCTCCTGGCAGACTGTAATACTTGAAATTGCCTCTATAATACTTCATGCAGTTTTAGCTGTCAGCCCACAAATAATGAATCATGTAAGAAGGATTTAAATGGGAAATTGCATTTATCACAGAATTGGAACTATTTTCCTGTAAAAATATTCTGAAAAAGTTAAAAATTTTTTAGACAAGAAAGGAAGATTTAATCTAGGAGAGATGCAGAGAGAGAAAAATTTATAAAAGGTGTAAGTAGAGGTAAATGTGTACTTACCAAATCTAAAATATTGAGATAAGTATTTGGAAGAAGTGATTTGAGGGATAAGTAGGTTACATATGCAGTTGAACTCCCTCGAAGGTGGATAGTTCAGGCTATAATGCATAAGGTCCAAAAGAAGTCAATGAAATAAATAACAAAGGAAACACCATTCTGAGTGAGACTGATGAAAGGGGTTGTCTCTCAGTGTTGTGTCTTTGAGTAGCAATAATGGATGTTTTAGTGGGAGAGCATGTGGTATTTTCTGTGATCATACCTAGTGGTTTTCATTGGTTTATTTTTTCATATACTCCACCTTATTTCAGAAGGGCTTTAAGGGACTGATTGCGCTTTGTGAATGATCCACAGTAAGGAAAAGGGCAGGTATTTGAGATATATCCTTTACATGTCATGGTTTGATTTTATCATCAACCATCAGGTATCACTATTACAAGCATTTTTAGAACATGCTACTTTAATTAATTAAAATTGATATAAGTTGTATTTCATAAAAGTGAATTTGGGAGATAGCTGAAGCTTAAAACACAATTTTCTTTTAGCAAGTTTAATGGAAATCTTCTCTAAAGTAAATTTCAATATTCATGTCAGTTTTTTCCTTTGTAGTTTAATAGTCCATGCTCATTATAGAAAATTGGAAAATATAGATAAGCAAAAAGAAATCGCTCATAATCCGTCACCAAAAGGTAGTTAACATTTTAATGTTTATGCCTTCTAGACTTTAGACACACGTTTATATTAAAAATAAAATCAGAAGGTACATACTCTGTTTTTCTGTTTGTCTTTTTAAACAGTGCTTAGAAAAATTAACACGTGTCATTTAATACCTCAAAGTCATCAGTATGAAAGCTGTTATTGTAGTGTTTTGTCATTTAGTTATATCCTTGGGGACCACAAGAACATGTAAGACTCTACTCCAAATGGCCCTAGATTACTATATTTCATGAGTTCTTGTGTTTTAAAAAGCTTTGTAATCTTATCGCTGCCAGAATTCGGTTTCCTTTACTGTCATCCCTGTGCCACCTTTGTAATTTAACTTTTCTAATCTGCTATTTGTAATTTAAATTTTTCTCACTGACAATGAGATCTTCAAGCTTGCTTGAATTATGTTTAATAGACCCTGAGAGGGAGCTAGAGAGGCTCTGAGTTTAAAGTAGATGAGTTTTCAGGCATGACATCTGGAACGTCTGTTTTTCTTTTCTTTATAGTTGATTTTTCTGGTTAACTGAGGTATTAATGTATATACAACATTGAATGATGTAATTAAGTTTTGAAAATTATGACATAAGTACACCCTAGATTTTTTGTTTTGTTTTTGTTTTGAGGAAGATTTAGTCCAGAGCTAACTGCTGCCAATCCTCCTCTTTTCACTGAGGAAGACTGGCCCTGAGCTAACATCCATGCCCATCTTCCTCTGCTTTTTATATGTGGGACGTCTACCACAGCGTGGCCTGCCAAGCGGTGCCACGTCCATACCCGGGACCTGAACCAGCAAACCCCGGGCCGCAGAAGCAGAACGTTTGCACTTAACCACTGTGCCACTGGGCCAGCCCCTATACCCTGGATTTTTTAGGTTTCATAATGAAGCTGCTATTAGGTTTTCAGCTACTTTAATAATAATTTATGTGAATCATATATATGAGTGTAACTTTATACTTTTGTTGATATTTCTTACTAATTATTTCTTCTCGTATAGGAAGATGAGAAGTTTTTGTCTGAAGTTTTTGCACAATTAACAGATGAGGCTACAGATGATGATAAACGGCGTGAATTGGTAAGCTGTTCTTGAAATTCAAACCCTTTAAGAGTGTTACTCTTTTGGCATACACAGCTTTTAATAATGAATTTGTTAAGTTGAGAGAATTTTTTATAGTTAGTATGAGATGAAAGCTATCTATTTAAATTATGCTGTAAGAATGATTATTTTCAAAGTTTCTAAAACTTGCTCTTTTGTATATTTTAGAAATTTCTTAAGGTATTTTGATGCGATTATCTCATCGCCATGCCCGCCCCCCCATGAGGGAATTTGTGTGCCTTACAAACCCCAAAATCAGATATGTGGTTTACGTTAGGACAGAACTGCAAACTCATACATTTTTCTGGTTGTAGATAATAACATTATAGAGATGCTTTGCTTTTTAAACAAGAGGTAAGGAAGATGCTTTATTAATAAATGAATGATAAATAAGTTGGTTCTTGGAAATGTTTTTTTCTTTTGAATGTGTTTATAATCACTTTAACCATGCTTTGGAAAAAGAGAATGATGATTGCTGTTATCAGCAGTTTGCCATTTTCTCAAACATTATAATTAGATAATTGGGTTTTAAAGAAGTAATGAAAAATTGCTGACTTAAAATCAGCCCAGTCTGGGGCCAGCCCCATGGCTGAATGGTAAAGTTTGTGCACTCCACTTCAGCAGCCCAGGGTTTTGCCGGTTCGGATCCTGGGCGCAGACATGGCACTGCTCATCAAACTATGCTGAGGCAGCATCCCACATGCCACAACTAGAAGGACCCACAACTGAAAATATACAACTATGTACTGGGGCACTTTGGGGAGAAAAAGGAAAAATAAAATCTTAAAAAAAAAAATTAGCCAAGTCATCTTTAGTTTATTTATTAATAGTTCTCTTATTTAGAAAATTAGTCCTTTAGACTAGAGAATCTCTAATGTTCTTACCAATTCTTAAAAATTGAATTGTGGGGCTGGCCCATTGGCACAGTGGTTAAGTTCGCACACTCCGCTTTGGCGGCCCAGGGTTCACTGGTTCGGATCCTGGTGTGGACCTGCGCACCGCTCATCAAGCCTTGCTGTGGCAGGTGTCCCACATATAAAGTAAAAGAAGATGGGCACAGCCAGTCTTCCTCAGCAAAAAGGGGATGATTAGCAGTAGATGTTAGCTCAGGGCTAATCTTCCTCAAAAAAAAAACTGAGTTGTACTTTTGAGGGCTCCCTGGGAACCCAGCCACCATTTATTATTGCATGGTTTCTATGAAAATATGTGCTCTCATTTAAAATATCTGCTTTACCATGGGATTTTTACACCTTAATCATAAATTAAGAGTAGCATACATATATGTATGCCATCTGAGATTCCACATACAAGGTGTACACTGCAATGTCTTTAGAGAGTTAATTGTTCAGTATTTGAGAAATAATACACGGCTTACTTTTGGGATTTTTTTAGTTTTAGTTTTTTAGTTTTTAATATGTTCTTTAATGTAGGTTTTGAGGTACCAGAATACCCTGAAAAGTCAAGGTCTTTGAGAAGGGTGAATTCTGCACTGTGGTAGATCACATTACAGTGTGCCTCTAGTTTTCTTTTATGTGTGTCAACTTCTAACTGTACTTTCTAACATTACAGGTTAATTTTTTCAAGGAATTTTGTGCATTTTCTCAGACATTACAACCTCAAAACAGGGACGCATTTTTCAAAACTTTGGCAAAGTTGGGGATTCTTCCAGCTCTTGAAATTGTAATGGTAATTATACAGTTTCTTTTCATATTTTTGAATTTGTGAATTTGTAATAGATTTATATTATAGGTGGGAAAGTATTTATTATAGTAATGCATATTGAATTTTATAATTTGGTTATGATTCACTTGATAGTGAATTATTATAAGAGTTTTCAGTCTTCAGAATTTCATTAACTTAAATTTGTAATATTAATATGTAATTACTTGCGTATAATATGGCCTCAAGTGAATAAAAATCCCACATTTTTACAACACTATTATTTCTCCTGTAATAATATTATGTTTCATAGTAAAATAAAATATCTTTCCTTTTTAGACCAGTGAGTGAAGTGAAAGCAGACTGGATCAACATGGCTCATGCTGCAATCTGGGGTTAGGGCAGTGGTTCTCATACTTTTGTTTATATGAGTTTAATCCATTGGTATTTATTTTATGAAAAATTAAAACTGAGAAGATTAAGTGTTTAGTAATTCATTTAAAAATAATAAAATCAACCCACCATATGTTAACATAAATAATATAACTTCTGTGAAAAAATAATTTTTCCAAAACAAAAAAAATTGAGTAATAAAAGTGGCATTGTTTCACATTTTTTGCCAATCCTTTTAATGTCTAGCTTAATAAAAGATAGATTCTCATAGCAGCTTCTGCGTTTAATTTGTTGTGATATCAACATATCTTGTAGCCTGTGGAAAACTCCACTTTACTTGTGATAGACTAAGAAGAAGGCCAGTATTGCGTTAGTGTTATTTATTATTATGAAAATAGTTTTAATCTCATGCACTTCCTGGAAAGACCCCTCTCCAAGATTTCCTGGACCACACTTTGAGAACTGCTGAGTTAGAGAATGTTTTCAGAATCACCTGGAGATTTGTAACTCACAAATCATGTGTCCTTCACGTGTTGAAGGAGGGGAAACATTCAGGATCGCTACCTTAGAAAACTAAGTTGTGGGGAAGTGAAAATACCCAGTGTGTTTTCAAAGTGTTCTCTATATGAGGATGAGTCATGAACGAGAGAATCCGGTTACTAAGGAGTAACTCTGGCAAATCCAGGACCAAAGACAGATTCTGGAAAGTTTTGAAGCCTTAGCTAGGAGGCATCATTCACATTTTTTGCATATATTGAAATCAAGAATCCTCTTCCCCCAAAAAATTTTTTATGGTGTTTGTAAAGCATTAGTTTATAATCCTGTGCTGATTCTTATATATAAATCCTCTGAATATTTACCTTTGTGGTGGTAAAAACTGACAGAAAGCAATCATTGAGCTGCCTGAAAGTTTTTAGTATTTGTAAAAGCAAAGGAAGAAAAGGATGGAGAGGTTATGTATTTTGATTCCAGTACAATGTCTAGTTCCAAAAAGTTGAAGGTGTGCATAGATTTGGGAAAGAAAATAGTAACGCAAGTATAACTTTGTTAACAGTCTCTTAGTAACCTAATTTTCCTTTTATCAGGGCATGGATGATTTGCAAGTCAGATCAGCTGCTACAGATATATTTTCTTATCTAGTAGAGTTTAGTCCATCCATGGTTCGAGAATTTGTAATGCAAGAAGCCCAGCAGAGTGATGACGTAAGTAGTAATGCTCTGTTTCTATGAAAATTACCTGTAGTGTAATGTTTGCAAACTATTGAGAGAAAAGGCATAACCATAATCTTAATCTTTGCTGAAGCAAAATAATAGATTTCTTCTGATCAGTCGTGACTTTGGCAAGCCCAGAATATGTGGCAGTTGATTTGTTTCTTGTAATAAACACATATTCAAACTAGTATTGAGATAAATAGATTATGATAGAATGAAATTCTTTGATGTGGGTCTTAAAAAAAGTTTCAAGTGCTCGTGAAATGTAATTTCAAGCCCTTAGGTCAGCATAGCTAAGAAGTTGCTTTCACTTATTGAAATGTGTATATTTTTTTAGTGAGGATGAACGTTTAATAATGAGATCAATGTTGTATTTTCCCACTACAGAAATATTTAGACTTTCCCCTTAAACTGTTTTAAGAACAAAATGAACAGATAGCTGTAATTTAAAATACCGTTTCTGATGTGAAATAAATTTTAATGTTAAGTAGAAAATAACTCAAATGTAATTATATCTCTTCTTAATAAAGATTTTGATTCCCAATGTTAATTTGATTCTTGTATGAGTCACCATTGAGTTAAACTGTATTTGTTTTATATGTTTCATGTTTAACTTCTTAATATCAACTTAGGTTTTTACATTCTATCTTTGTTAGATATTTCCAATTTTTGTAAGTAATTTTATTTTAGAATCAGTTTGAGCTAATGCTGTAGTTTATATATTAGAAGAGAAATGGAAGAAATATTTTATGTTAGGTATATTTTAAGGTTTATTTTTAAACCCAAATGATGCTAAATCTGACTTTGAAGAGATATACCTAATTTATTAATCAGTTTGTAATTTCGCTGTTGATATTCTTATCTTAGTGACATCTTTTACAAAAGATAACTTTTAAAATTAACACTCCTATTGCTCCACCTTCAGTGATGTGTGTGATTAAAGGCATTCATCATAAAATCTCTCAAGTCATGAGCATAGTAAGCTACTAACTTTTAGAATTCTTAACTCTTAAAGCTTTTATTTCTGTTTTCGTTAGATCCTTGTTTACATTTAATTGATGCATGAAACTTAGAGAAGCAATTACTGATTTTTTTTTCCCTTTTGTTTTGGTGAGGAAGATTGGCCCTGAGCTAACATCTGTTGCCTGTCTTCCTCCTTTTGCTTGAGGAAGGGTGTCACTGAGTTGACGTCTGTGCCAGTCTTCCTCTACTTTGTATGTGGGACACTGCCACAGCATGGCTTAATGAGCAGTGTGTAGGTCTGTACCTGGGATGCAAACCCACGGTGTGCACAAACTTAACCACTACACCACTGGGCTGGCCCCAGGGAAGCACTTACTGATTTTTAACTATGAAAAGTCTCTTTCTCAATTTCTCTCTTTTTTATAATCACAGTCTTCAAAGTCTTTCATTTCCCTGAATTTCTGAGATCTAAAATTTTACAATTTAAAAATTTGGTTGCTTCAAAATAATTGAGTTAGCCCACAAAAGAGGATAAGTTATAGTTTTTTTAATTTTCAAAATTAAGGATTTTACATGCTGAATTGTACTACTGGGTTGATGGTAACCTTCAAAAAGAAAAAAAATATAGCTTACCTGTGTATTCAGTATGTAGTTGATATTTTGATGGCCTTTCAAAAGAAATGGATAGCATTCAAACTTTTCTTTCTAGTATAATGGAGCAAATTTGGTTTTAGGAACATGGACTACAATATTAAAATATATACTGAGAGCCAGCGCTGATGGCCTAGTGGTTAAAGTTGAGCAGTCACTGCTTTGGTCGCCCAGGTTCACTTCCCAGTCACAGAACCACGCCACCCATCTGTCAGTTGCTTTGCTTTGGTGGGGGTTCACATTAGAAGAACTAAAACAACTTACAACTAGGATATACAACCATGTACTGGGGCTTTGGGGAGGAAGAAAAGAAAACGAGGAAGATTAGCAACAGATGTTAGCTCAGGGCGAATCTTTCCCTGCAAAAAAAAAAAAGTATGTTGAGACAAAGAAATATTAACATTTGTCACTGTAGTCATTATTTCTGTCGAAACTGGAAGGCTGGATAATTGCTGTCTTTTTGTTATGCCACAGATTTCACACTTTTTTATGTTAATGGCCTTTGAAACATTTAGTAAAAACTTATTTTAGTATCTGACTGGATAAGTAATACAGCTATTACTGAACTACTTATTTTGGCAGATATTTTCAGTTTATTTATCACTTAGGAATAAATTCATATGTTAATTTTTAGATATGATAATAGCATTGAGGTTTTTTTTTAAGAGGTCTTATTTTTTAAAGATTCATACTGAAATATGTATAGAATTATATGTATGGGATTTGCTTCAAAATAGTTCCAGAGGTGAAATTTGCCATAATAAGAAGTTAAAAAAATATATAAGCTAATCTTTGTGGGTTGACTGTTCAGTATTTTATGTTGAACATATCCCATTTCATTTCTTAAAATTGTGTCAATTTTTTAACTTGAAATAATTTTTAATTTTTACAGAAAAGTTACAGTAATAGTACAAAGAACTCCCATATACCCTTCACCCAGATTCCCCAATTGTTAACATTTTCTCTCTTATTTGCTTTATTATTCTCTTTCTTTGCTTGTATTTGTATATATACATTTACATATATAAATAATTTTTTTCATTCTGGACCATTGAAGAATAAGGTACAGACATAATGGCACAATGTCCCTTTACCCCTGTTTACTTTAATGTCTTTGTACTAAAAGCTATGTATACATAACCAGAGTAGAATTGTCAAAATTGAGAAATTAACATTTTCACAATATCTAACTACGGCCCTAATTTAGATTTTGTCAGTTATCCCAATAATATCCTTTTTAACCAAGACAAAAATGAAAAGTTTCTAGTCCAGTATCCAGCAATTTGAATTTGTCTGATGTTTCTTCATGATTCTGTTTAGGTTATTTCTTTGTGTCCAGAATGGTATAGAAATAACCTCCACTTCAGTGCATCATGTTAAGAAATTCCTCTAACTTTAAAAAATGAGCTTAAGTTTTTGTTCAGTCTCTTTTGCCATTTCACAGACTTAGGGAATGGGATCATTATGTTCTGTAGAATTTGAGGAGCTATTGTTGCTTTCTTCTAACATGTCAGAATGGGTTGAAAGAGGTATTGGTTCTATAATACTTGTATCCTTTATTCAGGTTGCTGCAGAGCAAATTTCATATGCATGACTTTTTTTTATTCTTACATTTATATTAAGAAAAAAACTGGAAAGGTTTTCACAACATCCTTCAGTTATTTTTATTCTACTACTTCAGAATATTTTTCCTGCTCTTGCCATTCTTTCTTTCTTGTCTTACTTACTGTATTAATGGAATCTAAGATATACAGATGCTAATATTTTCTTGATGTTACCAGAAGTGTCAGTGGAAAATTTTCACATAACTTTGTCATGATTGCCACTTGGCTGATAGTGACTCTCTTATGCAATAGATTATAAAATATATCTCAATATCAAGAAATTAATATTTCTAAGAAATCTATGTTAGTAGCAGTGAAATTAAGCATGTTCTTTATCTTTCCCAATCAGAAAATAAAGATGCCAACTGATAATCTGGATAATCTCTGAATTCCGTTTGTAGACACCCAGAACTTGCACTCTGTTGCTTATTACTTTTGGCAATGTTGCAAAATTCTTAAACCACTTAAATGTCCTTTAAAAACAAAAGTATGTGCTTCTAAGAATGGTATGAAGTGAGTGATGAAACCAACAGGAGTATCTTTTCTCTAAAACTTTGATTTAGAAACAACTACAACTTTGAAATATCTCCCAGAAGCTGTTCGTTAATCTTACTTAAATGTTGCTATTTAGGTGAGGGATAGCAAACTTAACGTACCCAAAGGTAAATAAGAATTGGTGGGCTGTGGTCTCTGTTGTGACTCTTCAGCCCTTCCACTGTAGTATGAACTGTCCATAGACAGTTTGAAAGTGAATAGATGTGGCTATGTTACTGTAAATGTTTTGCTGTAAAACTTTGTTTACAAACTAGGCAGTTGGCCGATAGTTTTGTAGTTTGCCAACCCCTGACTTAGACCCTTTTCTCAGAACATTGCACGCAAATGATGGTGGCATTTAGGTGCTGATTCTGAATTGAAAGTTATAATTGCAGAAGCTACTATGCAGTGTGAAAGAAGTAAAACAAACAGACCATAGGAATAAGCAGACATCAGTGGGGAGGAAGAGGTTGGGCTCTCTTAAGGCTATGAATTTAAAATGGTGTTCTCTGGAATAGATTTTGGTGCCCTAGCATTGGAATAAATTCACTGGGGTTACTCTATAATGGTTTATTTTCAGATCCACCGAAAGAAAAAATTTTCTGGTAGTTTGTCTTACATTTTCATTGTTTTGCCGCAGTTGTTTGAGAATGAGTTTTCTAGCCTGAGTAATGCCATTGTTGGAGAAGCAGGTTAAGGAAAATTGGATTTGTACTTGTAGTGTTTTAATGCCAGGGAACAACTTTAGGAGACAATTAGAAATGCTGACTTGAATTTTGAGAGGGTTGTCCAACTTTAGTGATCTTCTGTTCCATTCCCCTTGTGCCATTGGAGAAACTGACATGGAAGAGTTAATAAGGTCACTTAGATAGCTAGTTATTGGCAGCACTGCAGTTAGAGGCTGGGTCTTTTGATTTAGCTATTTCTTCTGCTTGTCAGGCTTGCTCTGTTGTGTTAATTAAGAAATGAAACATGCCTTACAGACAACTTAGAATGCTGATAATACTTTTAGTTTATTGATGAATATTCAACCATTTATTATATTCCTTAGCAACTATTTGTTCATTATCTGTGAAAGCACATTATTACTTTTGAGTGGATTTAGTCATGCATTGTAGTAGACTAGTTTTAGTTGTTCACTGAGCTGAGGGTACTTCTGGGATAGGACTGCATTGCTAATCCATACTGTTCTATGCAACATAATCTCTAGATCCATGGTTAATTCCAGTATTTTAGAAG